GGGGGGGGGGGGGCGAAATCAGAAAAAACAGGGGTTTCAATTTGAGGTTTTCACAGATTTCCCCGGCCCCTTGAAAAGGTTTCCAGTGAAAGTATTTATTTCAAAAGGGAGAGAATGGCGGGAGGAGACCCTGATATAATAGATCAAAAATTGATTCTTTTCTTATTTTCTGACACAAAAGTCCCCTCCCCCCAAAATTTTGGCCATCTGGAATGAAGACTGGCATTGTTTCCATTTGAAACCCCGAAAACTTCTGAACAAAAAAATGGTCTTGTTCAAAGCAGCATTTTCCACCCAGAAGGCGTTGATGGAAGTTGACCAGCCTGTCTAGCACTGACGGAGGAAGTGGGGTGAATATGCAGGGACTGAGCAGGGATCGAAAGCCACAGACTGCTCCTGCCTGGGCTAAGGGCCCTGGTATATTGAAGGCTGTAGCTAACTTGGGTCTCTTACATGGACCGGCCACTAGAAGGCGATAAAGGCCCTCACTGAGTTAAAGTGTAAGAAGACCCCAGAGAGGCAGCTGTACCTGTAGGGCAGATTGTGCAGCTCTCTCCACCCTGTGGGGGGATGGGCACACGAGTTGTTCCGTTTGGTTTCAATGGGGTTTCCTGGGAACCCAGGCCTGGATCTGGCTTCATCTTCTGAGCAGGATACAACCCGTTCCCCATCTTTTCTCTCTCCAAAAGACTCGTGGAATCCAAAACGGGCGACTTGTTCACCTGAACCACCGTTCTGCAGCCAGCGGTAACTGAGGCCTGTTCACAGTGGGTCTGGCGGTGCCGGCAGAGCCCTTCGTAAGGACAGTTTCAAAGCAGCTCACTCGATTACAGCTCAGGCGCGGTTTGGCTACGTGGGGTGAGCAGTGAAAACACCTTTCAAATATAACTGGATTGTGAGTTTTGCCCGAATACCCCGACCAGCCAGGCTGGGTCTGGGCTGTGTTCGAATGAACTGTTTCAAAGCTCCCCTTGACACGGCTTTTATCCCCAGGGTCAACCAGGCCTTAGCAGGCGCTGACCAAATCAACTCCAGGTCACTGAATCGTCCTTGTTCTGTTTCTTTTCACTGGCGTCCCGTCCCGTGGGGTCTGGGTTCGAGGTTTGCCTGTGGAGAGAATTGTTGGGTTACTCGGGCTGGCTTGTGTCGGTGTTTATCTGCCCAGACACAGCCCTGCACAGCAGGGGCAGTGAGAGCTGATGGTGCTAGGACTGCCCTGGTTTCTCTACAGGGATTTGCATCTGAAGGATCCCAAAGCACTTGACAAACACATGGAGGCAGGTGCTGGACTGGGGTCAGTTCCATGTAGAGAGTGGGGCCAGATCCCGGGCTGGTGTGAATTGGGGCAGCTCCCTTGAAATCACTGACCCCAGATCCCCAGCTGGTGAAATGAGCCATCGCTCCACTGCAGTCAATGGGGCCAGACCCCCAGCTCTGTTTGGTTATGTCTGTGTATACAGTTGCTCCAGACACACCTGAATAGGCAGGAATGAATTTGCTTCCCCTTATGCAGATGCTTTTCAAGAAGTTGTTATGGTTCAATTTGAGAGCTTGGAATTTTGCATGGGGGAAGGGGCAGTTCCTGCTTTCTGCCCCTGGGAGATGCTCCATGAAGTCCCTGCACCCCTGGCAGGACAGGGACTGGGAGAGCAGCAGACACAGATTCCCAGCTGCACCCTGTGACAGTAGCAGCTGAGCAGATCTGAAGGGAGCACCCCATCTCCAACAGCAGCCAGCACCCGCTGCTTCAGCGGGAGGGGCAGGACACCCCTGTACTGGACAGTGATGGAATAACCTGCCCCAAGGGACAGAGTCCTCCCTCACCCCCATTGGTTAGAAGCTGGGCTTATACCTTGTCACTTAGAGCCCTTCCCACCCCAGGTTATTTTGAAATATTAACGGTTATAACTCTGGATGGTCCCATTATTCCTATAAACGCCAAGAGCTTGGCAGGATTCAGAAAAGAAGCTCAATCAATGAGACCTTGTGGCAGTGAGTTCCACAGGTTAGCTGCACCTTGTGTGAAAACGTATTCCCTTTGATCAGATTTGAATATGCCGCCTTTTCGATGCAGAGAGGGAGAAATGGTTCAGATCCAGCTTTTGGGGGAACAGAACAAGAGCTGTTGCAAAACAGACTTGACAGTGTCTGCCCCCTAGTGGAAATGAAATGTCATTCAATCACTTGGGCAATAAAGGAACAACTGTATCAAGGAACCAATAAAAGGCAGGTAAACAAACAGCCCCCTCCTCTCACACCTCCGCTCAGGTATTAGCAGAGCCGTGGAGTAATTGCGGAGGGGGGTAACGGCTACCTCAGCCAGCTGGGAATTGCCTGGTAGTCCCATTGTGCGTCATAAAATGCTACAAGGGCAGGGATCCGGGAGACAGAAAATGCAGCCGTTTCCCCGGTAAGAGTCTCCTGTGCTCATACAGAGACTCGGATTCTCCCCTGCCCGGCCCCTTGTAACAGCTCGGCCACCTGCCTAAAGCTGTTCCCAACCCCCTCCTGCATTGCACAATGAAAGGAGCAGCCCACCCCCCTCACAGCCTCCATCTGCCCCTGGGGCATTTGTCCCAGGCTGCTCAGGGGATCCAGGCTCTACAGACCCTGGTGAATTTCATTTGCAAACCACATCATAGACTAACAGACTAACCCAGCGAACACTGTAGATCAATCTCTGATAATTTTCATATGACTTTACATTGTGCCTCTTCATATAACCTTGTGGTGGGTCTACCCA